CAGACCCGCTTCCTAGATCGCCTGCAGCGTCGCTTGCACGTCCTTGACATGTTGCTCTGCATTGGGACTGAATACTATCACGTCGTCAATGTAGCATGCCACGGCTGGAACTCCTCTGAGTATCGCATCCATTGTCCGCTGACATAGGGCCAAGGCGTTCTTCATGCCGAACGGCATGAATTTCCACTTGTACAGCCCATCCGGACTGTGAAAGACTGTCTTCTTTCTGTCTTTTGGTCGTATGGGTATCTAATTGAACCCCTGCCGCAGATCTAGCGTGGAGAACACCTTTGCCCCCTGCAGCTTGTCAAATATCTCCTCCGCCGACTGCATTGGGTATCGGTCCGCCACTGTCACTTTGCTCAACCCTCGGTAGTCTCCGCACATCCTCCTAGTGAGATCCTTCCTTCAGGCCACTACCGTCCTGAATTAATCCGGCCGCCAATAGCTCCGCGCATTTCTCCAAGCAGATGTCTAGATCTCCTGGGCTCATGCGCCGCTTCCTCTGGTATATGGGCACCTCTGTCATCAGCTCTATGCGCATCTCTTGGCTGTTAGATTTGCCCAGCTCCTGCAGAGTGTAGGCGAAGGCTTCCCTATGGTACCGTAGCACTTCCTGCATAGCTACTGCCGTTGTGCCTCTTAGTCCTTCTCCCATCTGCCATTCATCCTCAGGCTTCCTTTCCGTCTCCCCTTTCTTCTCTGCTGCGTCTGTCTGCTTCCCTTCCTCTCTTTCTCCCACTTCTTCTGGCATCGCCAGGTATGCATATCCCTCCTCTACCCTCTCTTCGTACCTCTCCTCCATTTCTTCCAGCACTCTCCTGTGCTGTGCTGCTGCCTCGTGCTCCCTGACTCTTTCACTCAGCACGATGTCTCTTTGCAGCTCTCTTGCTTTCAGCTGAATGCGGATGGTCTCTATAAGCCACATCATCACGTTGACGTCCATGGCTCTGCCTAGCGCCGCCCTCCTCTGCCTTTATGTGACTTCAGGGTGTGCCGTGGCTCCCCAGAGGTGTCCCATCGCTGCCTCCTTTTCATTCGCCGTTGGTTCCTCCCATCTGCATTTCCGCACGTCGTAGATCATGCCTGGGCCTGGCAGCTCTCCCTCCATCTTGAAGCCCCGGGCTTCTTCGTAAGCTACCAGTGTGGGTAAGACTTGCCTTGGTTTGCCTGGCACATTACATTGGTATTGCGATGGATGGTTGGGGCTTGTGACTGGGGCTGGCAGGCGGATCGGCTCTATGATGTCACTAACCAGCCTCGGCTCGGGCCTCTGCATCCATGCCAGTGAAGGTCTCAGGGAGGCTGTGGATATTCCATTCTGCCAGTACCTCCGTGGTCTGTGCGCCCTGGATCCCAGCTGTGCTGCATCTGCCGGCACTCCTCTCCCCAGCACTTCCACAATCTCCTCAAACGCCTGCCTCACTGGTTCTCGCCGATCTTTGGCCAGATCTACGTTCTCCAAGATGTATAGCACCTCGCCTTGCTTCTTCTGGATCATTTCCAGTACCCGCTTCAAGTCTCTGAATGTAGCTCCCCTCGGATCCTCCATGCCTCTTCCTCCTCCTGCCCGTGAGTAGCCCTGACACTCCCATCCTGCTACCACCAGGTCGATTTGCCCCCACTCGTCCAGCACCTACTCGTTGATATCTCTGACGCCGTGTACCCCCGCTTCATTCTCCTTTGGCAGAGCCTCTGGCCATAGCTGCTCGGGGTACTCTTCCAGCAGCAGCTGTGCATGATGCCGTGCCATCTTCCTTGCGGCTAGATCGCTCTCCACATGTATCCACTTCTTCACCATGCACCCTGCTCTTAGCGCTGCAGCTAGTCCTGAGCCTATTCCCCCCAGCTCTACTATGCATATAGCCCGCTCCAGCGTCCAGAGCCTGCACACCCTTTCCGTCAGCGCCGGCGGCTCTAGCCCCGCCACCTTCCTTTCCACCCTTCTCTCATACTCCTCCCCGTATTGCTCCCACGACCATTCGTCTAACTCCTCCCTTAGATCCTTCTTCTGCGCCTGGTAGGCTTCCCATGGCTCTTGCTTGACGAATTTCACGGGCAATGTGCCTACCGCACTCTCAGGATCCCAGTACTGCACGTGATACAGAACTTTCTCCTGCCAAGTGCATATTGTGGCACCCACCCGGTACAGCAGCTCCATCCCCACCAGCACGTCGTAATCTTCTGAGTCCGATACTCCACACTGCAGCTGTATGCAGCACTCCTTCTTCGTTCCTGGCAGCAGCACCACCTCGATTGGTCTCTTGGTCCGTGGCATCCACTTCGGCTGCCCCCCTTCTACCGTCAGGAGAATGCCTCTTTCTATCAGTCTTCTCGGCAGGTCCAGGTTCAATTGTTTTGCCAGCCCTTTTCCTATCAGCGCGTGGTGCGCGCCCGTGTCAATGATGGCCTGCTTCATCGGCAGCCCTCCCACCGTTAGGCTGCCTTTCTCTGCTATTAGCACTGATGCTTGACAAACCATGCGCTCATTCGGGTGTCTTCGCATGCCCGTGCTTCTGGCTTCCTTTTGAGGCTGGCTTCTCCTGCTGGTTCTGGTGCTAGTCTCGCTGGTTTGGGGTTGGCTTTTGCGCGGCCTTAGGTCCACTTCCTCCCGGTCTCTGGGGTATGCCATCACCGCGTATTCTCGTATGTACTCCTCCTCCTCCTCCTCCTCCTCCTCCTCCTCCTCCTCCTCCTCCTCCTCCTCCTCCTCCTCCTCCTCCTCCTCCTCTTCGCTCTCGATCTCCTTGTACGCCATCATCGCCCGTGCTTTCACTTCACCCCCGGGCTGCATCTTCTCTGGTCGTAGCTGTAGCTTTCTGATTTCTGCCTGCAGCTCTTCTCGGCTTGCCCCCTGTACCTCCCTTGGCTTACTGTAGCATTCCTCCTTCTTGTGCCCCCTTTTTCCTCACTAGTCACAGCTCGGGGCCTTCGGGCATTCCCTCTTTAGGTGTCCTCCTTCTCCACACTGGTGGCAGGCCCGACTGTCTATTCTGACTCCCCTCTCGCTGAACGTTTCCGGTACTGCTGCGGCTGCCCAGCTAGTGCGCGCCCTGCCGCGTGTCTCGCTATCTTCCAACTCCAACAGCCTCTGTGCATGCTCTGTTCTCTTCGCCATGCCGTAAACTTCCTTCAGAGTGACATCGGCGCCGATACCGTACACTGTATTCTTCACGACGCCCTTCAGCTCTTCGTCTAGGCCGCATACGAACTTACGCACTAGCGGGCGCTCATCTCCGTTCTCCAAGTCCTCCGCCAACTCCTTCAATCGGCAGTAGTACTCGAGCAGCAATTCCTCTTTCTTTGTTTCGAATTCTCGGAACTCCTCGACCCTTGCCTTCGTCTGTCCGACGAACTCCTTTCTCAGCATCTGAATGAACCTTGCCGTTGGGTTCTCGATTTCGCCGCATGTCAACTCTTCCAATATTTCTTCCCGGACCAGGCGGTAGAAGGTTTCTGCTTCGCCGGTGAGGGTCCCCACCATCTTCGTGAAGAACTCCGAGGGGTCATATCCATCTCTCTCCCAACAATATTGCACGGCCTCTAGCTGCATCAGAAAATTCTTCAGCCTCGGTCCTGCACCCGGGATACCGCTGTATCTTTCGGCCACTTCCAGCTTGGGCAGGTTTGCTGATTTCCACCGCCTCTCATGTCCCCTTTTCTCCTCTCCAGGTTCTCCGGACAGCGTCGCTACACTGCTCTCTACAAGTTCCCCCCTCGCCACGGTTCCGATCGTTGGGCCCCTGCCTCCGCGCTCCCCCATTCCGGGCATCTCGGACGGCAAGCTTTTGTTATCACGCATGCGGCCAAACGTGTCACTGCGATTGTTCCGTGCCGACTCTCTCGGCGTCCCTCCGGGTTCTGACGCGGTTTTGCGCTCGTGTTCTCTATCCATTATTTCCCCGGCTACACGGGCCCGTTGATGAGGAGTACGGTAAGTGGGCGATCCAGCCTCCTTCGGGATTGGAGCCGAGCTGCTCGCGTCGTCTATCGCTTGCGCACGCCAGCTTGGCTCTGCCTTCGTATGCCCGGTTCCGCTCCAGAGACGCGTTCCTAGCAGGTCTCTATCTTTGCTATTCATCGGCCTTACCCCTTGCGTGTTTGTTGAAAAGTCCTCTCTACAGGTGCTGGATACCCAGAGTCACTAGATCTGGGTTAGCTCGGCTGGCTCTCAGCCCAGAGAGGGGTTACCCGGTAGCTTGCGGGGTGTCGTTTGTAGGCCTAGGGGTTGCTCAGGATCTGGCTCAGACTTAGTTGCGAAAACAAACACGCAAGCAGCCAATGCAATTTCCTACTTGCCCTTAAGTAATCTGTTTCGTTTACCGTTGCCCCAACGGTGCTCTTCTTTCGGTTCCCTCCCTTCTTTCCCCCCGCTTGACCCATTTGTTATCTCCCCTATTACCCGCCTCTCTATCCTACTAGTCATGACTATATATTGAGTTTATCTACTACAGTTATAATCATGACAGCAGCCGAAATTTCCGGGACATACACGCTTTCGTAAGGAGGGCCTTCTTGGGGGGTAGTGTAAGGAAAAATCATTTTCCTTACTTCGCGTCACTGGTCAGCGCGTACATGACTGTTCCCGCGGAAGCAGGTTCTGCGGGCCTTGCGGGCGAAAAATCATAAGCATTGTGAAATTCATGTTCCGCGCCCTTACTTTCGCGAAGCCTTTGACCTTCGAAGGAGAACGACGGGGCGAGTATACACAAGTATTCGTTGCAAAGCAGTCCCTGCGTGTGAGCGGTTTCTGAGCATCACTGACGTTCTTTTCACAGAATCCTGTTGTTGTGACAAGTTTAGAGACATCTCTAAGCACTTCCCGTTCAATTCTGACGCTCTTGACGCGCCGGAATTGTCACTTAGTTTGTACCCGGCCACTTCTCGCTACGATCAGAATTCGTGAGAGGTAGTCATTTAAACCATCAGATCTCGAATCAAATCAGCGGCGAACCACCGCCACGTCATCATCGACTGGAATCCGATCTTCTGGTGCCGCCATGGCCAGTACTGCCACGTCAGACGGCTCCTCCTCCTCTGCAGCCACGTCATGCTCGGAGCCTGCCGCATTGCTGCAGTACGAAGAGCAACTGCTGACGTGGCTGCGACGGTTTTCCGACGAGCTCGCGAGTCGCATCACCGAGATCGACGGCCGGATCGACGGGCTGCTGAGCGACGCGACTCAGGTGGACGCGAAGCTTCGTGTGGTCGAGGCGAAGCTGCAGTGCACTCCCGTGATTCGCGGCGCCGTTCACGTGAGTTACAGCATGAATCGTGATAAGCAACTCCTATTTAACATGTTTTTAGATGTCTCAATACGTTCGTCTTCCCCCTGCCTCTGTCAAGCAGGCCATCTCAAGCCCAGGGCAGTCGCGCGCGAGTCAGGCGCAAGGAGAGCTTAGCGGGAGGGCGACTTTTGATTCGACTCAGAGATCAACGGTCGTACGTCACTAATTAACGGTTCCCGTACGTTTTGCCTTCCCCCTGCCTTGTCAAGCAGACCATCTCAAGCCCAGGGCAGTCGCACGTGAGTCTGGCACAAGGCGAGCTTAGCGGGAGGGCGGGGATGTCTACAGCGGGGATATCAATTGCTCAGAAGAAGCAGAACGAGAAACAGAACGAGAAGCAAAAGGAGGAGCAGAAAGAGAAGCAGAAGGAAACGCAAAAGGACAGCCAGAAGGACGAGCAGGGAGGCAAGAGCGGAGGGGGTTTAAGCTTTGAGGAGCGGGTTCAGGTGAATTATCAGGTGGCTCTGCAGTTAGGTTTTGAAGCGCTGGAAGGGATACGAGAGGAGGGGGAGAGGGAGGAGCAGAGAAGAGGACGAGGGCGAAACCAGCTTGGGGGACAGGCGGCTGGTGGTTCTTCAGCGTCAGGTGTGACAGCAGGAGAGGCATTAGGCGCAGCAGCAGGAGCAGCAGCAGGAGCAGCAGCTGGAGTGGCAACGGGAGTGGCGGCAGTGGGAATAGCAGCGGCACCTGGGGCAGGAGAAGGTTTTAGTTCTCGACAGCAGCAGCAGCTGCTTCAGCAGGAGGAGGGGCAGGGACAGCAGCAGCAGCAGCAGCAGCAGCCGCAGCACGCGCAGGAGGGGCAGGTGACAGTAGTTCCAGAGGACACGTGGAGTGACAGTGACGAGGGTGACGACAACGAAAGCAATGAAAGTGACAGAAGCGGTGGCAGCAGTGACAGTAACGAGGGGGACACTGGCAGCATGGAGTCTGGGCTTGCGAGCAGCGAAGGGGGGAGGACGGTGGGCTCGCAAGCAAGCTACCTTGGAATGACTCGAGGGATGGCCAGTCTTGGGTTTCATGGCGCAGCAGGTGCGAGCCAGAGCTATTACAGCCCACAACTGACATCAGCAGCAGCAGCAGCAGCAGCAGCGGCAGCAGCAGGTGGTGCTGGTGCCGCAGCTGTGGGTGCTGCGTCCCCCCTCTTTCCTCCCTACAGCAGTGATGCAGCGATGGTTTCTCCCTTCCCTGACCGGCCAGACTCTCTCGCTGCCCTCGCCTCTCTCTACGATTTCACCACCGCCATCCCCACCCCCTCCTCTCCCCCTCCCTCCTCTGAGCCTGGGGATCTATCTGCTGGGCTTGCCAGGCAGCAGCCGGCACCTGGTGAAACACCTGAATCGTCTGTCTCTGTTACTGGGCACCTGTCAGGTGAATTCCCAGGTAGAACAGGCACTTTCCCAGGTGCTGTTCCTTTCCTGCCTGGGTCGTCCCCCTCTCCTCCGCCCTTCCCTTCTCCCTCACTCTCTCTCATGGAGCCATCGGGATGGGCTGTTGATAACTTTAGGTCCCTGCTGGAGCAAGCACTCAGAGCACCAGGTGCTGACTGAAAGCACCTTCCCTTCCCTCCGCCTCCTCCACCCTTCTCTTCCCCGCCGCGCTCTCTCATGGATCCAGGTCCTGGAGTGTTTTGATAACCTTGGCAGTCTCCCTTATGCCATGTGTTAACGTGTCGAAGTGTATTTGTGCTGTAGGTGTACACTTTGGTAGTCCAGGTTACATTTGTGGTTGGACATTCTAGGGTTAGGTATTTGCACCCATGCATGCCATTCTAGTCATCACTCTTTTCTCGTTTCAACACAACACACCAGACAAATCTGCTCGTAAGAAGGCCGTGTATGGGTTTTCCAGTCCTCAAACAGCTGTCCTTGCATGCAACTGACCAGCTTTTGCGAGGCACACTAGTACCGGTGAGTTACTCTTCCACCTAGGTAGTTACTCTACCTTCGATTCTGGTTTATTTGAAGGTAGTTACGGTACCGTGTGAATTCTGGTTTTCTTCTTTCATGAGTCAACAGCAGCACCCACAATTGACTCTAGACACCGACCTCATTTAATCACGCAAGGGCCAACATTGTCAAAATGTTATAATGCTTATATTGTGTAGGCTGTAGTGGGGTAGCCCATCAGGGGTACAACCCAATTATGGTTATGTTGAAATTATATTTATATACCCTGCTTGCTGCATAGGTGTAGTGTAGTTACATTCTTGGTGGTGCACCCTCTCTTGCCATGCTTTGCTTGTACTTGTTTGTTCCCCTCGATAGTTCAATTCTCTTTTTGCCTACTCATCTCACGCCATCCTAAGCTTAAGTCCTAAACCTTGAGCACCTAAACTTAACATGATATCAGAGTGTGGTCCCTCCTAGGACCTAGTTTTGATGGGCCCACCAAAGCCGCCATCGACCTTGGCGGCCTATTCTGCTGCTGGCGTGGCTGCTACTGCTTGTCGCGCGAAATTCGTTGCTGGCGCGAAATCCGCTGCTTTTGCAGCACCCGTCGCGCTGCCCCCGTTCGCCTACCCGTCGTCTGCCCCGTCGCGGCCTTGCTCGTTGGCTACGCTGCTACTGCTGCGCCTTCGCCGCGGCCCCATGCACCCCCAATGCGCTTCCCCACCCGTCCCGGCCCTGCGCGCTTGCGTGGGCGATCGAAGTGAGAGGGAGGAAGGGGGGACGGGGGTGGCGAGTTGCCGGCAGCGACCGACCGCGTCAGCGCCAACGGCAGTCGTTGGCGCCCTCGCCAGCGCCATCCCGCTCCCCGCCTTCTTCTCTGCAGCGCCCTGCCCATGCGGACGTTGTGAAGGGGAGGTGGCGGGGCTGGAGGCCGCGGCTATGGGGGTACTCCAGCCCCCCTGACTCCTCGCCCCTCCATTTCCTCCTCCGCGCCGTTGCACCTGCCGCGTTGGGGGGGGGGGGGGGGGGGTGCGGGGGGATGAGGGTGTGGCGGGAGGTACTCTGCAGCACCAGCCCGCGGCCCTTCTCTTCCCTATCTCTCGTGCCCGTGTTTACGGTCGTGAGGGGGGGGGATGAGGGGGTGGCGGGGATGACCAGCAAACCGCCACATCAGCACTCCTCTCCTCACTCCAGCAGCCGCCTCTCCACTCCTCCTCCTCATGCTTCTCTCCCTTCCGCTGTGCCCACATTTCCAGCCTCTCCTCTCCTCTCTCCTCTCCTCCAGCCGCCTCCTCCTCCGCTCGTTTGCTCCTCCAGCCGTCTCCGCCGTTGTAGGGAGAGGTTGGAGAGGTTGGAGGGGGGTGACCGTCGTGAAGCCAGCAGCGCCAGTCGCCAGTGAGCCCGTTGCTCCAGTCGCCCGTGGGTCAGTTGCTCTAGCCGTACGAGCGGGATGCTCCAGGCGTACGAGCCCGTTACCCCAGTAGCCCGTGAGCCAGTTGCTCCAGTTGCCAGTGTGTAAGTAGCTTTAGCCGCCGCCCCCCACCTCCTCTCCTCTTTCTCTCTCTCTCCTCACTTCTTTCTCCTTGGTGTACCCCTTAAGGGGGTGTGTTCCTGCACTAGTTCCTGCTGCAAGCAGGTTAAGGGGGTGTGTTGAAATTATATTTATATACCCTGCTTGCTGCATAGGTGTAGTGTAGTTACATTCTTGGTGGTGCACCCTCTCTTGCCATGCTTTGCTTGTACTTGTTTGTTCCCCTCGATAGTTCAATTCTCTTTTTGCCTACTCATCTCACGCCATCCTAAGCTTAAGTCCTAAACCTTGAGCACCTAAACTTAACAGGTTAGTACTTGTACCAACTTACTGCTCAATGCATTCATTCTCGTTAAATTTCTTGACATGGTTTCATAGCAGGTCCTGTTCCTTTTTAGGGCCCACCGCATAGTTCCGTGCTCGTAGCACTGCCCCACTAGTCGCGCTGCCCTGCCCTGCCCGTTGCGCCGCCCTGCCAGCCGCGCGCCGCCCTGCCCTGCCTGTCGCGCCGCCCTGCTGGCCACGCGCTGCCCTGCCCTGCCCGTCGCGCCGCCCTGCTGGTAGCGCGCCGCCCTCCCTTGCCTGTCGCGTCGACCTGCTGGCCGCCGCGTCGCCCTGCCCTGCCCGCGCGCCGTCCTGCTGGCCGTCGCCCTGCCCTGCCATTTGCGCTGCCCTGCCCTGGCCGCGCACCGCTCTTCCCTAGCCGTGCGCTGCCCCGCCCTGCCCTGGGCGCTTCCCTAGTGCTCGCGCGCCGCCCTGCCCGTCGCGCGTCACCCTGCTCTGCCCGCTATGGCTTCTGTCAGTGTTCTCACCTTCGATCATGAGGGCCGTCCGATCCAGTTCGATACGTGGCTCGACAACTTGCAGCTGTACCTACTGAGCGATTCTAGAGACAGTGTTTTGTTGTTTGACCACACGTCTGGAGCCTCTCTCGCCCCTCCTGCCACAACTGACAGCGCGACTCGCTCACAGTGGCTTACCCGTGACGCTGCTGCTCGCTTAGCCGTTCGCAACCACCTGCCGTTAGCCGAACGCGCTCACTTTGGCCACCATAAGACTGCTAAAGCCCTGTACGACGTTGTAGTCGCTCGTTACTCTTCCCCTGCCATTGCTGCTCTCAGCCGCCTTATACTGCCCTACCTTTTTCCCGAGCTGTCAGCCTTTGCCACAGTCGAGGACCTCATCACCCACCTTCGCACTAGCGACACTCGCTACCGCGCTGCTCTCACAGCCGAGTTCCTAGACAAGAACCCGCCCCCGATGTACATCACTCTCTACTTCATAATCACCCCTCCCTACGGGGGGTTGGTTTCCTCCGGGGATCTCCTTAAAGCCCAAAAAAAAAAAAAAAAAAAAAAAAAAATCATAATCACCCACCCACCTGACTATCTTCGTGCAGTCTGGGACCACTTTCTCGCACTTCACCCCACATACCTCACTGTCGACCTGCTCGAGAAGCACCTCCTTGTAGCTGAGACTAGCGTAGTCGCTGTAGGTGCTGCTCGTGGCACTCCTCGCCCACCCTTCTTTGAGGGGTGTTCCCCCTACCCCCTTGCCCCCTCCTACGCTTCTGCTGCTGCTATTGACATTCTTGGTACTGAGAACGTCGGGGATGTTTCTGCACTTAGTGGGAAGCGCCGCAGCGGCAAGGGCAAGGGAGGCAAGAGTGGTGACGGTGGCAGCAGGGGTGGTGGTGGTGGAGGCGATGGAGGCGGTGGAGGTGGCGGAGGTGGCGGTGGGAGTGGTGGCGGGAGTGGGGGCTTCGGTGGCAGCAGTGGTGGCAGCGGTGGGAGTGGTGGTGGCAGTGGTGGCGGCAGTGGGAGTGATGGCGGCGGTAGTGGTGGTGGTCGGTGTGGAGCTGTTCAGAGGGGAGGTTCTGGCGATGGCCAGAGGCAGCACCAGCAGCGGCGAAGCGAGACCCCTACGCCCCAGCAGCTTCGTGAGTGGTTTGCTCAGCGTGGGGCGTCTGGGGGTAGTGTTCGCTACCCGTATGTCGTTCGCACAGGTGATCGTGCTGATCACACTTTCAGCCTAGGCTCTGGCTCTATTTCTTGGTGGTCTACCCGCTCATCTTCTGTTCTCAGTTCCAGTTGTGAGGTTGAGATCTACACAGGGGCCATGGCTGCACTAGAGTTACGGTGGCTCACCTACCTGTTGACCGACTTGAGAGAGCGGCCTCGTTCTCCTCCAGTTCTATATGTAGACAACAAGGCCATGATTGCCTTGTGTCAGGAGCACAGACTGGAGCACAGGACGAAGCACATCGCTCTGCGTTACTTCCTTGCTCAAGAGTTGCAGCAGCGTGGTCAGCTTCGCCTTGCTTACATGGCCACTAGGGCCAACACTGCTGATATATTCACCAAGGCACTTCAACCTGGTGATCATCAGCGTTTCTGTACTGTTTTAGGCCTTGTGCCTACTTTGCCTCACTTACTCACTGCATGACTTTGCTTGTACTGTGATATATATATATCTGCATGCTTACACTTGCTAGGTTATGATCACTGTACTACTTGTTCTCTTTTATATAACTCTGCATGTGAACTGGCCTTGTGGCCATTTGCTTGTGCTCAAAATGTGTGGTGACTTCGTGATCCACCCTGAGCTTGTTTTGCTTTTCTTGACTGGTCTTGTGACCACTTGTTCTCCTCCACTTTGCAGATGGGGGTGTGTCAAAATGTTATAATGCTTATATTGTGTAGGCTGTAGCGGGGTAGCCCATAAGGGGTACAACCCAATTAGGGTTAGCACTTGTACCAACTTTCTACTCAATGCATTCATTCTCATTCAGTTTCTTGACTAACATCAGCTGCTGTCAAAGTACATATCTTAGTTGTAGGCTATAGTGGGGCACTCCTTATGGGGTACAGCACTTCTGGTGTTAGTACTTGTACCCCAACTCCTTCTAATCCAACCATTCCATCACAGTTGATTCTGACATGGTTTTCAGAGCAGGAAACCTGTTAGGTTTTTAGGGCCCACCGATAGTTCCGCTAATTCCTGCCTGAAGCACCCTTGTGGTGTCCGGCCCTGCTCACACAGTGTCGCGTTGCTCTGCAGCTACTCGCACCGCCTGCCCTAGCGTGTTGCGTGCGCCCTGGGAACGCGCTGCCTGTGCCCCGCTCGT